AGCTCTCAACTCTTGAGGGAGTTGACGACAAGCTCTTTGCATGACCTTTGCACTGTAGCATCTTCCCCTAGCTTCGGGCCCTGATCACCATCAAACTCAAAAACCCAAACTCGACTAGCACGAGCTTCTACTGCGTACTGAAGCTCACCAGCAACCTCGGTCGAATCGTCCAAGGGAAGCAGACTCGATGCGGGAACCGAGCGAGGCGTCCTATAGCTACCAAAGTCCCCACGTTAAACAAGAAGGGTCTTCCCTCCGCTTCTATTGTAATTTCGATTCATTAGTTTGTAATAAGCTATTCTTATCAATACAAACGAAATCCCTGTTTCGGGAGTTTGCTAATTTTTCACTATCAATACCAAGTATCACACTAACAAAGTGACATGTAGGAGAGACCTATCATAACTGAAACATACCCTTCCTCACAAAAGAAACTAAAAAAACTAAAAAAAACTTTAAAAAAACAAACTAAAGCATACTCCGGTTTAAGATTGAAGGTCACAGCTGAAAAGATATTCCTTCCAAAATATCAGAATAAATTATGAAATTAGCAGATAACAATTTTCAGGGGTAAGCTTGAGACATCATCAAAATATTTTATAATATGGATTCTTCCTCATGAATTAGTACAAGCTCTGTTAGAATCAAAATCAATCCTCAGTATTAAACAAAGTTGGTACGCATTTGAATTCAACTTGAACCACGCAAATTAATGTGAAAATAGAAAATTAGGGCGTGATCCTTACCTGAGTTTAGAGAGAGATTGACGAAATCCCGTCGAAGGAGGGCACCTGAGGCTAAATCTAGAACCAAGGAGCTTGAATTTGAGTTAAAGAAGAACCGCAAACCCTATATCCAGAAGTGAGCTCCCCTTTGCTGAAATCTGAGGATTTAAGGGAGGGGAGGAGTGCTTAATGGCGGAGGAGGAGGAGGCGGAGTTGCAGCTGGGGTTCGTGGCGGAGAGGCGGGCGGCGATTGGTCGTGGAGGAGGAAAGGAAGGAGGGATCTCGCGGCAGCGGTGTCGGAGTCGTGGCGGAGTTGCGGCTGGGGTTCGTTGTGGAGAGGCTGAGCTTTGGGTATAGTAATATATATAATATATATATTTATATAATATATATATATACGTATAATAATTATTATATATATTATATATATCTATATATCTGTATATGTATATATATTACTATAGTATATATATGTTATTATATACTATATTATGGTATATATATATATAATAGTATAATTACTATATATATATTATGATATATATACTATATATATATATATATATATATCATAATGACTATATATTATATATATATTATATATAAATATATATATAATAATATATATATATAAAATTTTATAAATGTATGTAGTGAAGTTATGATTAATATATGTATTGAGAGAGAGAAAGAAGAAGAAAAACCCAATCCACTAAAGTGGATAGGAGGCCTGGTCCACCCAAACTTGTTTATCCACTTATCTTTGTCTCAAGAATTTGTGCTATCAACAAGATGCACAAATCTTAAAAGAGTCTTCCATATTTATCACGGATCCCAATGCAAATATCAATGGTTAACAAAAGTGGTGGATGACCTTTATTCCCTATCCACTTGAAGTTGACATAAGCTTTACCTATATATAAATACGATAATGTGATATACTATATATATAAATGACATATATGTAGCATAAATATATATGATAGTGTATAATACATAATATATATTATATATATATGATATCATATATGTATGACATATATGTAGTAATATATACTATACTATATTATAATATATAATATAAATAATATAACTATATAGATATATTATATATAGTAATATATCATATATCTATATATAAAATATATATAATATATATATATATGTAGCATAATAATAGTTAATATACATATATAATATAGTATATTATATGTACATATATATATAAATATAATAGCATAGTATATAAATATATATATATATAATATTATTATATATATATAATATATATATATTAACTTATAATATAAGTATATATATACAATGATATACGGTAACTACTGTTAACATATATATAGTATATATGTATACTGATATACTATATGTCATAATTATATAATATATAGATAGTACTATGTACATATATAAATACTTTAGTATATTATATGTACATCATATAAAATGTAACATTAATATATATAAGTATAAACTACGATACTATATACTGTACATATCATAATAATATATATAATAGATATATATATATATATATTACCATATATATATCTATATATATATATAATATTACATATAATTACCTATATAAATATATCATATATATAATATATATACTATTAATATAACATAACTATAATAATAAATAATATACTAACGTTAAACTATATATTACATTTCTCATATATACTTTATATATTAATATATGTATCATATAATATATATATAGTACTCTATACTATATACAGTATAGTATATACCTATAAATAATTATATATTTAATACTATATAGTATATATAATATATAATATTCCATTTTCTCCATACGATGAAGGCGTACGCATTCCCCGATGTTCACCCGCAAAGTTTTCAAATATTCCAGCGATTTTTGACGCATTTATTTTCCTCTTC